CCCCCCCACCCCACACACACACACCCTTCCCCGCGCTGGTGCTGCCAACTCTTGCTCTCCTCAACCTCTCGACCACGCCACTCACAGTCTATGCCAAGTGCCAAGGAGTTTAGAACTAACCACAGAATTGTAGAATTATGTGGAACTAACTAGACTCTATTCTATAGGCCCTAGGAGCTGGTTGGTTGGATGGAAAAGTTGGGAACGGAACTTGGAAAAGTCGGAACGGATACGGCCAAAGAGGTTATACATAGAACCAGAGAGCTCCGCTCTGACGTCACGAGTTTCAAACTTGAGGGGCGCGCCGGCCATTCTGGAGAGGAATAAAAGGCCAATCACGGATTAATAATACCCTCCGAAGTCTTCTGATGTTGACATCTTTTTCGCGTGATTTGGCTGTTGCTAAAGTGTAATCTTAGGGAATTCTGAGATTGTTTACCAACTTTAAATGGGCCAGATAGTCTCCAAACAATGCAAGAAGGGCCTTTTACGTGATGAAACCATCTGGGTGGGTAAAATTAAGAAAAAATGGATCAGGTGGACTTGATCATTTCTTGTTAGTATAAAACACATCATTTCATTGAAATCTTTCGCTCTGCATTGCTCAAACCTTGGAGTAACTATTAATAGTTATTACTTTAGCACACCTTCAGCGCTCTTGAACAGAAAAGAACCACTGGCAATGTTGTTGAGAGAAAATGAAATAGCCAACCAGGTGTAACTAGCCACCAACAAGACCGGCATATTATTCCGTCTCATTTGCAGAACCTATGCCAAACAACATGTGCAACATTCGCAACAGGGGTCTATGGAAGATGAGGTGTTGTATAGCCAAACACCATGATCAATCGACGGCAATTTTAGGAAATAAAAATTGCGGACTTTTAAGATAAACCGACTTTATCTAAGTGTTGCTTTTTTACTTTAAATGTGGTCAGTATATAAGGAGCGCACCAGTAACAACATTATAGTGAAAACACTTTTAAAGCTCTGAGTAGAAATGTAAAAGTAACGCCAGTTCACTCTTTTTTTCGCGACTGGAGTGAAAAGGGTTTAGTTTTAGTTTTAAAGTTTTAGTACAGGTTTTACGGCGCTTGCAACTGCATAAGGTCATATGAGTCATACGAGCGCCAGAAGATTAGAGGTGTTACAAGAGAGTAACAAACATAAAAAAAGAAGAAGGGGAGATAATGACGATAGATGTTTCATAGGAAAGAAGAAGCAAACCACACCAGAGCATCCGCCACTACCCACGAGTGAAAAGGGGGAAGGGAGGGAAGGGAGACGATGTAAGTAGTTAATGCGAGTAAACATTTATATTTGCTCACTTTCGGATCTTCGCGCGAAAATAAAGATACTAGATCTAGTCTATATATTAATTTGTCAGTGTGTACGTAACTTTTCATTGCACTCCAGTGGACCAGGATCAATCTTTTCTTTTTTTTGGTGGTAATTAACCAATTTTTACCCAGTAATTACGTTTAAAAAAAATTGTGCCCAGTATTAGACAGTGCTCTTTGGATGCACGCAGAGGATCAGTACAATGCATGATTTACAGTATCCTAGCCTACGAATTGCTCATTTAGAGACAGTTTCAGTGTTCACCTCTCATTCAACACGTCCCGTGTCCGTAACCCGACAGCCACGGGAATATCTTCTTCTCGAATTTACTCTAAAATTGTCTCCTTTCACCTCCTTTCCAACTCTGTAACTATGTTCTGTCGTCTGTTTTCGCCTCCACTTTCTGCCTCCACCCCACCCCTTCTGCCCCCTCCTCTGGGCTCCTGACTCATTCTGAAGCCTTTCTATTTCTACTGCTACTTGGCTCCTTCTTACTGCTGTCTTTCTGCCACACCTCTAATCTTTTAGGGTATGTAAGATCTAACACCTAGCCTTCTCAGACAAGGGCGAAAAATGTCGGAGGCCCGTGTGCAAGTTGCGCACGTTTAGATCCCTTGGTGGTCCAAAACCAAGAGTAGCTTCAGCTGCCACCCGAGCAAAATTTAAAACTAATTCCTACCAAACAAAATGTTAAATGTGTCCCAGGGGCTCGTCCTTATGCAGTTGAGAGCGCCGTAAAACACTCACCAAAACAAAAACAAAATATTAAATAATTAACCCAGCCCTAACCCCCTCATAAGAGCCCAAATAATCACCAACAGAATACACCATCAGCCCGCACTGCGTTACATTAGTGGTTTTATTGCTCGCAGTGTCACCGAGAGGATTATTTTTTTAGTTTTAGTTTTAGGAAGTGTTTTACCGCACTTGAAACACAATAAGGTCATATAAGTGCCGAAGATTAGAGGGAAACACAAAAAAGTAGGGGAGATAAAGACGATAGACGTTTGATAGGAAAGAAGTGTAAGAGTCCCCTGATACCAAGTTAGCAAGCTGACAAATACCACAACCACGCGCAGTTTGAACATCGTACGTACAGCCTGGTAGGCATGTCTTGAGATCATGTGTCAGTGGCCATATGCGTTCACAGAGATTTTACATCATCATAATATGAACACGTATTGATTGATTGACTGGGTTGGTGTTTTACGGCACTATCGACACAATTTTGGTCATTTAAGCGCCAACAGGTTTCACCGCTACAAAATCAGATGTGTTTTTAGTAAGGGTTTTTTGGAGCTCGCAACCGCACACGATCACACTGTTTTTATTATTCTAAAAAGACGAACAAACATTTATTTAAAAATTTGTAAATATGTAAAAGGCTTATTTACATTTGTATACAATACTAATTTCAGTGTATGTATATATACACCGATAACGAAAACTATATATTTTCATATTCTATTAAATAGTCCAATTTCTTTTATATAACTTAAAATTTTTTCTAGGGTCTACGATGTCAAAAAGGGTCCTAATATCTTTACATTTAAAATATTTCTTACGAACATCATTAAATTCGACACATTCCGTTAGGATGTGCCGAACTGTGAAATTTGTGTTGCACGCCACGCAAAAAGGAGCTTCCTCTCCTTCGAGCAAATGTTTGTGCGTGACGTGCGTGTGTCCTATCTTTAGTCTGGTAAAAATTACCTTTTCTCTTCGTAGGAGAGATAGGGGTTTCCTGGGCGTAAGTTTCGGTTGAATGTAATTGAGTTTGTTGTGTATTTGTTGATTCCAGATTTGGGACCAGGAGGATGTGATATTTTCTTTTACTTTCGGTTTCATGTCAGAGAAAGGGATTTTACTATTTTTGTTTTCAGGTACATGTAGTTTTAGAGATTCTTTGGCAAATTGGCCAACGGCTTCGTTGCCTTCAATGCCTACATGGCTTGGAAGCCAAGCTATTGTAATAGTTTTTCCAGACTGATGTAGAAAATGCAGTTTAATTATAAGTTTTAAAAATCTGTTGTCGGAGGTGTCAGAGCGCTCTAAAGATTTCAGACAAGAGAGGGAGTCTGAAAGGATTAGGAAAGTAGACTTGATTGATTGATCTATTATATTTAGGGCCATTTCAAGAGCTGTAGCCTCAGCAGTGTAGACTGAGGCTTCTGGGTGGAGTTTCCTTAAGCTTAAACTGTGTGGCGATGCAAGGGCAGCAGCTCCTACTGAGGAGTCATTTTTGGATCCTTCTGTAAAGAGTTTCTCTGCTTCAGGGTATCTATTTATTAGCTGTTTGTATTAGTTTAGGTATGAACACGTAGCATACTAAATTCCCTCCAAAGACAACCACGCTAATCTAATGATAAAAGAACCATACAAGGTCTTCTGCCAGATGATGTTACACCATCGTGAAAAACTGATCAGGGACAGATACATCCACAAAGATATATATGGGAACAAGGCGTAAAACATTGATGCAAACACTCATCTCTCTGCATCAGTAGAAGGAAAGTGTAGGCAAAAAGGCGTAAAACAATCCATTTTGTAAGTATTACGTTTTAAAACTAACTTTGTCTTCCACCGCCCCTCTCCCAATCCCACCTGAGAAAAACAAAAAAACATATAATTATATAGTAGCCTAATATTTCTCTGTTTGTTAAAAATAACATTTTGAAGCTCACGTTAAAGTGCAATTATAATATGTTTCTCACAGTCGGTCAATACGTGCAGTAATGTATGCATGTATGTTATATGACTAAACAACATCAACAACAAAAGGCACACTTAATAAAAAACAAAAACAAAACAAAACAAGGGAAAAAACCTGAACTAAGCGCTAACTGTAAGCTCAACGCGTCATACTCAATGAAAACCATAGATGTACACTCTAGGCAACTCTATGATGAAAACCTAATAGTAATAGCCTGATAGAGGCGTTGCGAGGGACGCACAGTTTGACAGCGCTGTTTCTAATCCTCTCGAACTCGAAGATGGCGGAATCACGAGCTGAGCGGGCTCGCGCGGCCCTCGCTGCTTTAAGTGGATGACGTCACAACTGATATCTCCAGTTCTCTTTGGTTGGCTGGCTAGGCTTGGCGCAGTCTCTGCCAAGTCTCTGGCTTGGCCCAGCTGGCCGCAGGAGGTCCCTCGCCCTTTCAATGCAATCGCAGACAGAACAGTTGGCGTCAGTGACCTAGGCCTAGAATCTAGATCTAGATCTATATAATATCCATCATAATTCACAATTTACAACACAGTTTCACTCCTGCCTGTCAGCCTGAGCCCAGACGAGGTACGAACGTCGAACACCTCGACTGAGGCTCAGGCTCGGTCCATCGACATCGAGCTGGCCTTGTTTTGACTGGACCGCTGTCCGAGTTGGAAGTTGGAAGTTGGAAGTTAAGGGTTGAATGTGAAACAAGACGAGAAGGTAGGCCTTTAAAAAAAATTTAACTGTTGAATGGGAAATAGGCCAAGAATCTAGACTAGAATCTAGATCTAGATTCTAGAAGTATTTGTTTGTTGGAAGTCCCTATTTGCAGCGTTGCGATTAGCGCCAGTGCTATTTATGGCCACCTCTATTCTCACCCGGAGTGAGAATAGTGCAGGCGAGTCTTGTGGCTATTCTCACCCGGTGCGCGTTCACCAAATTTTGCGTTCACCCTAAACCACAGAATTCTACACTGTGATAACAGAAAAATTGTAGAATTCTGTGCCGTGAACAAACGTTCCATTACAACTGTAGCCTACTAAAAGCGTACAATTTTGTCTGTGGGCAGTGGAGAGAGAGAGAGAAAGAGAGAGAGGAGTAGCGCGAGAATTTCCGGGCAAAACAAAATGTCGACCCGCGTAGTTCGGCTCGATTCGAAAAGTTAAATAGCCGTAGCATCTTTGTAGACAACCAAATTAATTTACTTTTGTGTTTTAACATCATTTTTTAACTTTGTTTTGGTCAATTTGATCGTCCACACCGATAGACAGTATTCAGAAAGAGACAGAGAGAGAGAGAAGAGGGGAGGAGTTGATCTTGCGAGAACTTCCGGCGGGTGAGAATAGCCACTTTCGCTATTTATATAATAAAACGCCGTGTCGCCGTGTGTAAAATTGTAAAGCTCAATCTACACACTTCATCTGGCATTCCATAGATCGAGAATCTATATGCCCGAAAAACCGATGCGAACTTCGGGTGTGAATTTCGTGTACGAAATTCGGGTGCGATGAAAAAAGAGCCCTCCTTCCATATATATATACGTGAAATTCGTATCTTTCATCTGACTGAAATCACGGCACCAGTTCAGTCAGAGCAAGCACTCTACGTTGAAAACAAGAGAATTTGGTAAGATTGAAGAATACTGGACCAGCGGACTGACTTTGCCTATGTCTCAACCTTAGGAATTCATAATTTTCCCGTTTTTAATATCTCTCCATGGAGAATCTCGGACCGGTAGATCTATTCATTAACATTTTGTCAGGGGGGAGACCCCCCTGAACCCCCCCTCCCCCCCTCCTCCACCCCAACCACCCGCCCCACCTACCCCACTTTCTCGCGCAATAATGTACGAGTGGTCCGGTATTCTTCAATCTTCCCGAGAATTTTGCTGTTAGAACTCCTGTTCTTACGAAAGCAGCTTTAAATTGCTTTGTCCAGACTTGATGATGGTCCTTTCTTCATAAGCTTTGCTTTCTTGGGTCGTTTTCTTTTTGAAGCTTCGGTCCTATCACCGACAGCGCTGGCTGATGTGGCTGCGGCACAGACAGCAATCTTAAGTCAAGTTATAATTGATGTATGTTAGAAGTTATATTCAAGTGCATTTAATTAAGGAGGGGGGGGTGTAAGTGAAATGCTATTTTTAGTTATTACATAATTTAAACGATAAATGATAGCATAGATAGATTACATAGACTCCCGAAAGTTTCCCACAAACTAAAAAAAAAAGTGGTTGCCATGCAAATGACAGCCACCTTGAAAATAAACACTTCTTTTCAGTCTTGGTTTTAACACTTCTCTCTCGAACCAAGGAAATCAACATTTCGACGTTTTCCCACTTACCTAGTACTTCCATGCTGCTTCGTTCCTTTGAAGTAGATTTGGCGGGAAATAAGCCCCGCCCACTTCACGAAGAATTCGCATGCGAAGAAAAAAGTTTCGCTCCCTGGTGCGAAACAAAATCTTTGCATGCGAATTTAGGACTCGGCCATGCGAAATTCCGGTATATGGATTGGTATATATGGATTCACCCAATAACAAAAACGTTGGTGCGAAAAAAATAATTCGCAAGCGAAATTCGCACCCGAAGTTCGCATCGGTTTTTCGGGCATATCGAATGTCAGCTTAAGTTGTTGGAAGTTCTGATGGCCGAATGGGCAGCGCGTCTGCGCTTGAAGCCAAACCTTTATTTTATGAACATGGGTTCGAATCCCAGTCCTGGAAGTTTTTTTTGTTTTGGTTGCTGTTTGTCCTCTTCTCGGCTGACCAACAAATTCTTCCCATAACTTGTGGTGCTTTTTCGGTAGTTCCCACCCCCCTTATTTGAGCCTGATCTACATCTAGATCTAGATATCTAGATCTAGATTCTCTAGATTTAAATATTAGATCTAGCCGATACGTTTGATTCGCGGTGAGCTAAGATATCAAACCTAACAAATGCAAAACATTAAATTGTGGTAAAATTCAGGGGGGCATGCCCCCCTGAAACCCCCCTTCCTATTTTTATTAGGTCAGGGGGGCAAGGCCCCCTGAAACCCCCCTACTCTTGGGACCAATACCGGTGAATAACAATTGCGGAGTGGGAACTAGGCTACCGAAAAAGCACCTAACTTGTTGCTTTGTAGTTTTTTATGTAGCCTAGGCTCTAGGCCTAGTGATGAAGCATGCACATTCTGGTTTTGTCTGTGCCCAAGACAAGAGGACCTCTGTAGGTACAAGGAAGGCCTTATTTAGGCCGAAGTGTATACAGACCCGGTAACCGGGAACAAAGTCACGAAGTATACAGACCCGGAAGAGGAACTCTTTTGTGATTTCGGAAAGTTTCAGCGCCCAGACCCGGTAGTGTGTGTGTGTGTGTGAGAGAAAGAGAGAGAGAGAGAGAGAGGGGGGGAGTACTAGCAAAATGCATGCCACAGTTGGCAGGAGGGAACGAGAGAAAGATAGAGTGGGAAATAGGTGGGGAGACAGAAAGACAGAGACAAACGAAGAAAAAGAGAAGGCGAGCGATACAGAGAGAGAGAGAGAGAGAGAGAGAGAGAGAGAGAGAGAGAGAGAGAGAGAGCGAGAGAGAGAGAGAGAGAGAGAGAGAGAGGAAGAAAAAGAGGGGCAGGCTGAAAAAGAGGGGAGAGAGGCAGAAAAATGGAGAGGGTGACTGCTCGATTGAAATTAGATCTAAGACATTGTTCTTTTCTTCAAATTGTGATTCCTTCAACTTCAAAACGGAGGAAAAACGATCGTTCACTGAAAAGACATCCCCTCAATTTTCATTTGGTAGCGTCAATTGCCACCGAGTGACGCGGTGGCAATTGACAAAATTTGACTTTTTGTCAATTTTGCCACCGAGTGAAGCGGTGTCAAGTCTGAAAACAACACTATCTTTAGCATTATACATAATGTGTGTCTAATGGGTCAATTTGTTCTCAACTAATTTAATTGGATGAGCATCTCTAGTCTAGAGCTACTGTACCAACTTGGCATGTTTTCAATGAGACCTAGATCTAGGCTAGCCTTAGCCTACACTTTGGTGTAGAACCAACACAGGCAATTCAAGAAGTAGGCCTAGAAGGTCACAAACGCACACAAACTCAAGCAGATATTCACGTTATATCGGGGAACATAAATCGGGGGACGGGGGGCAGGAAAAGACAGACAGACAGACAGACAGACAGACAGACAGACGGACAGACAGACAGACAGACAGACAGACAGACAGACAGACAGACAGACAGACAGACACACACACACACACACACACACACACACACACACAGAGTACTCGAGCACAATAAGCTAGATCTACCCACAAACGCAAAAGAGCTGCAATTTACTCGGTGGCAATTGACATAAAGTCAATTTTTGTCAATTACCACCGTGTCACTCGGTGGCAATTGACACTACCTTACAAAATCTGGTGATCTTGTGTCTTGTAGTTCCGTTCGTTAAAGTCCACGATCCTTTTGTTTACATCCAGAGAAGAAATCCAGAAGTCTTGATGACCAAATAGGCAACACAAAGAACAGGGATGCAATCTAACTACAAAACATCAAATTATGGTAATAAAGGGGAGGACATGCCCCCTGAACCCCTCCTCCATATTTTTATTAGGTCAGGGGGGCTTCTTTCTTGAAACCACCTTACTCTTAACTCGCAGGGCCCAAATCGGCGAATAATAATTGGGGGTGGGAATTGCTGAAAAGCGCCATTCTTTGCTTGAATTTTGATTTTTTGGCTTTATAGTGTTTCCTTCCGGTCTCACGCTTAGTTCACTCCTCAACGATTACCCGGCAATTCAGGGTCTCTGGGGTTCAGCTTTGGACTTTATAACGAACGAAAAATATAACGAACGAAAAACTACAAAATCACCCTTTTGTGTAATTTACAGTAATATATAAGTTCAAGAGCCTGTGCCAGAACCACAGCATTTTACATGTAAGTGATATATTTTTAATATTTTGACATCAATACAAGCTTTGAGCAATAAAACTCTATTACTACTATAGCTAAAATAGCACAAGGGGTTTCCTCTTGAAGACGAAGGAAGTAACATTTGTACGAAGGGGTCATTACCAGCAGTGGCAGGGCGTAGTGAAGGGCTAAAAGGCTTGAGACCCACCCACTCCCCACCCCCCCACCCCCCACCCCTGACTTTTGGTCAGGCTATCTGACGTGCATCACTGTGATGACATGTTACATCAAATGTCACAAAATCGGAAAGGAATTTTCTGTTTCTTTTTTAAAGTAAGGCTTGATACTGGCGTAAAAAGTAGCAGAGATACCAACTTTAAAAAGATGGGATTGTTTAAATTTTATTAGTAGTAGAGATTTCCTGTCATCATAGTTATGCACGTCAAAATCCCAAAGTTGCCATCTAACATCTAAATTTCTTACAAAATCTATTATCTATTTGTGGTGGCCGAATTTTGCTATGCAAAAGGCTTTTTAATGGCTACTTCGATCGACATGCAGTTTTCGCCAAAAGATTCTTTAAAATATTCTCCAGATCATGACGCCCTTCGGTTTTTCAGTTTTGAGACAGTTTTGCTGCAAAAAGCTAAATTTCTTAATTTCGCCGATAGCTTTTGTAGGCCGACGCTTCTGTCTCTGTAATTTTAGAAAATCCGCTGCGGAAGTGATTATTTCGCGAGGCGCATTTTGTTTTGAGAGTATATACCTAGATCTAGACCTTCTAATTTTTTGCATCTCTCAAGATTTATTGCTCCATT